TCTGAACATCCATAACTGGTTTTTATGTGATCGTCAGGGAAAATGTGCACCTCTGGATGAGACAGAGCTATGAACATTTTCAATAGATTTTCTAAGATAAAAATCTTTAAAAAAATACATTCAACTTCAATAGCTTTTTTTCATGTTAGATGTTAACAATACTAATTATATTATTAAAATATTACTTTTTCACTTAAACATCTAATAGTGAATTAAAGATTTGGTCCCTGTGGTACATCGAAAATTGTGACTTGCGTCCCTAAACTATAAAATCTATGGACATGGTCCTCGTGGTTGTCATTTTCTTATGACTAAGATCCCTCTCACTAACGATCGTCAGGGACTAACAGAACAAAATACGCTTGTGTTCTTCGTGCATGCTCATATTGGAAAAAAGTAACATACATACACATGTGTGTGTACATATATAACCACGCAAAATGCATACATGGACGAAGAACAAGGGGATGTCTCCCAAAGGGGGTCGTGGGTTTCTAGATGAGGGATACGGATGGGGGCGATGGTTGCAGCTGACAATGACTATGAGGTTGGAGGTGATAAGGAGTCGTTGAATAGGAAAGGCCACAACCCACATGTGGGGAAGGCTTCCTTAGAGAACAAGAACCAACGACGTCTTGTTTCTGCTTATGTTGTTTTCGTTGTGTGTGTGTGTGTGTATATATGTATATATATATATATATATCTATAGGGTTGGGTTCATGTGAGACCAAGGGTTTTTCGTGTGACCCGTAAGATAAATTTATGTTCATTAATCAACTTTACAGGCCAATGATCTAATGGTTTAAAGTTGCACGATGGCAATTTTGTGATTATTGAGAAGTCTTGTGGCAATTTTGTGATCATGAATGTTCAGGTTGTAGATCTAATCAAAGGGTTAAGAATTGGTTTTACGGGTCTAACCGAAAACCCTTATATATATATATATATAGGGGCCTAATCAAATGAGAACTGATTAGTTTGTGGTAACTGTGAGGTCCAATCTCAACCATAAATCAATAGATAAATTAGGAAATTTATAATTTTGGTAATTTTTAATTAAAATTTTAATGCAAGGGTATTTTAGGTATTTTCTTTCCTCTCTCCTATCTCCTCTTTTCTCTCTCCGTCCCCTGGCCTCCGACCACCGTCCTCCGGTGATACCACAATGGTATCACAATGCATCATATATGTGATTGGGTATCACACTGTGGTCGTTTGTGCGGTCGATCGGATATGTAACACAGTGGTATCACAATGCATCTTATATGTGCTTGAGTATCACACTGTGGTATCACCGGAGGATGGTGGCTGGAGGCCGGAAGACGGGGACAGAGATAGGAGAGAGGAAATAAAATATCTAAAATGTCCTTGCATTAAAATTTTAATTAAAAATTACCAAAATTATAAATTTCCTAATTTATCTATTGATTTGTGGTTGAGATTGGATCTCACGGTTACCACAAACTAACCAGTTCTCCCTTGAATGGGCCCCTATATATATATATAGACTTGGGATCATGTGAAACCAAAGATTTTTCGTGAGACCCGTAAGACCAAATTTCAACCCTTTGATTAGATCTACAATTTGAACATTAATGATCACAAAATTGCCACGAGACTTCTCAATAATCACAAAATTGCCTCGTGCAACTTTAGACTATTAGATCATTAGCTTATAAAGTTGATCAATGGACATAAATTGGTCTTACGGGTCTCGCGAAAAACCTTGAGTCTTACGTGAACCCAACCATATATATGCATTTAGGTCATGCCAATTAACAAAAGCATTTCTAACAATTATGGTATTTTAGAAAATGTTGGAGATTTGAAAAAAGTTTGCTCCAACAATTATGCTTAATGCTCCTTTAAATTACAATAAGATACGAGAGAAATAAAAAAAATCTTCTAATTTAAAGAAGAAAGAAAAAAAATATAGCGTGTTTGTTGTAAATGTTAGAACATCTCCAACAAATTCTCCAAAATGGGGAATCAACCGGACAGGATCAGTGTTTGTTGTAAATGTTTGGCCATCACAACCGGACAGGATCAGGCCCATTTGACCATCTCACACCGGGCCGGGATATCATAAGATGAGCCCACTGCCCACCTCGCAAGTCCAAATCCAATGGACTCTGGTCCATGGAAGTTTTACGATCCGACCCGATCCGACCCGACTGCCGACGGTACCAGCAAGCAAGTACAACACTCTTATCATCATCACATCATTCTCGCCATCCCCAAACCAAATCGCTCATCTCTCTCCCTAAATTCGGAGAGAAATGAGTACGGCAATTTCCTCACCAATTGCATGTTCCCGTGTTCCATCCAATGCCCAAATCGTTAGAACATCCAATCCATCGTCTTCTTCAATCATCCGYCTTAACTCCACAAATAACCGGCATGGGAAAGGAGCAGTAGGAAYGTTGTTGCAGAAGAAGAAGTTGGTTCTTCCAAGACATGGTTTTAGGTGCAATTGTAGCAGCACACCTGGTGGCCCTGCTCCTGGTAAACCTTCTTCTTTAAGATGTAAATCGCACGATTCGTGGTGAAATTTTTTCATGTTTGTGGGTTATGAGATGATGGGGATTTTGTTTGTGATGAAAATTCAAGTGATTAGTTATTGAGTTTGGCCTTAGGGGATAACTAKTAGTTCTTGATTTTTGATTATTAGGGTATTTTTGCAGATTAGGGTTGGAATGCCCAATTTACGAGGGTACTGTGAGTGGATAGATTGKATTTTAGAGGTTTTGTTCCTTCATTTTCTTCAATTGGTCTATGGAATTGAGTTATCCTTCAAGTTATGGCTGGTTTTAAAGTTCTCTTCAAAATCTTGGTTATGGAGTCTGACTCTTTAGATGTATACTTTGACTTTTTAGTCAAACTGGTCTGGAGTATATATACAAGGGYGTTGTTGCTATATGCACCCCTTTTTATGCGTCAGCACGAAATGTGTRGGTAGGGTTGTATTTAGTAATATATAGCGGTGCATTTAGCCTAGGGGAAATGACCGGTATACGTATAGGTAATTAACAAAACGACCACTTTTCAATGTGTTTCCTGAAAGGAATAGGTATTTCGTTAAAGCATTTCGCCATATTGGCTATTTCCTTACACCGGGCCCACTTGTAAAAAGACAAGATTTTAGCCAAAAAAGGGATTTTGGGTCCCCCTGTGTAGCTATTTCGCCAAAAAGGCAAAAACCCACGAAATTAGCTAAATGCATGRAAAAAWCTTAACTTTTATACCATGAGTGCTTTAGGGGGTCCTCAAGATRTGTTTYCAGAWACCRCTATCCAATTACAACCCGTCTTTGCTCAATGGATGTGGGACMATCTAAGCCTTTAGTGAAATGTGTGGTTATTTTGTAAAAACGTAGAAAATTGGTCATTTTGTTAAATACTCGTATGTATTTCRGTTTGGTAATTTCCCCTTTTAGCCTAACCCATATATAGAATTTAACTATTCTCAGAAAGCTATCTAAAAATGGCTGATTTCACCATAAGAATCAAGAGACATGTCTCTTGTTTGGGGAGTAGAGGTGGTATTTGCCTTTGCCAAAAATGTTCATCTTTATCGGGTATAAAGATCGAATCATTGTATGCCTTTTCGACACCCAGAATTGCCTTGATTTGAGAAACTTGAAATCAAGACTCATTTGGCTTCTAAGCAAGTTGCTTTTTAGAAATTTACTGATTTTGGTTTAAGCTAGAATAACTATCCAAATAGATATGCAAGGCGCGCTTTATGCAACGAGAAAATGGGTAATAAGAACGATGATTAGGACTTGTAGGTTTATAAATTTTTAAAATTTCCATGCACGACTAGTTATCGTAGTTGGGAAAAAAATGAGAGGTTACAGTAGCATATTGAAGCTTAAATTTGAGTTTTTTTTATTAACCTGGATATCCAACCCGGTATGCGAGCTGACTAATCCTAGGGCAACCACCTGCTTTGCAGATAGCCCGGAGTCACCGCATTTGAACCTCCGTGGCCACAAGGGGATKTTTATTCCTCCTTGGATTTGAACCTGACCTCTGGTAATTTTTGACCTTTGGAGCCAAACTCAAACCAATCAAGCACCACCCTTGTGGTTAAATTTGAGTTTTATTGGTTACAGATGATGGAACAATAAAACCCTAACTGTAAATTTTGGAAATTTATTAATGTTTTGTACTGTATTTTGTGACAATAATTGAATTCTATATGATGATTATTTTGCGCCACTGGTGACAAAATTTATGGATCCGCCACTATTCCTWGTCTGCTACCTTAGTTCTGCATCTCCAAGAACTCCTATCAGATGTCGCTAAATGGTCYCGTGAGTGATCTAACTAATACCCTCTTATGTTTTGTGACACAAAATCATGTTGCMTAACTATTTGATTCTTGATTTGAGTACACCGTTTAAGTCAAATGAACGAAATCGCCTCCTTAAACACAAAGAATTGGAATTTGCAGGTGAAAATGAAAGCAAACAGGTTCTGGATGCATTTTTCTTGGGGAAGGCTTTTGCAGAAGCGCTGAATGAACGTATTGAGTCTACTGTGGGGGAGTTCTTGAGTACAGTTGGCCGGTTGCAAGCCGAACAACAAAAACAAGTACAGGAGTTTCAGGTACTAAACAGAATTTTCTTTCAGATCTTGCAAAATTGGAACTTTCCAGATACAATGACTTGTTACTAAGATATATCGGTAACAATTTAGGGTTTTGGGTTTATGTTAGTTTGCCTTCATGATGGAGTACATAGTTTGCCTTAAGGTCCTATTTTTAGCAGCTTAACGAGCTTAATGRGACTCACAACTTATTCAGTCAACTATACATGATTGTTTGGTAGTGACTTAATGATATAGAAAGCGACTTGTTCAATAAGCTTTTAGGGGAGCTATATGCAAAAAGCCAAGTTTTTTCCAAACTTGCCCCTCGCAATTAAAAAATTTACTACATCCATCTATGAAAAAACTCTCTCAAACAAAAACCTTCTCAATCTGTATAGACAGATTAATCCACACAGACAACTTTATCCATGCAGGACTTGATTGAAAACCAACAAAACAGCCCCTTAGTTCTAGTCTCAATACTGCTACAAATACAAAGTGGTTTTTGTTCTTTGATAATCATGGGTCTCCGTGTCWGCTTGTGCGCTCCTTGACTAATCCCATGGGGYCTGAAGATAACAACCAGGAAAATCCTTGGTGGCCCTGGAGAGACTCGAACTGGCGAACGGAACAATTAGCATAGAAAGATATCCTCAATGAGTTGAAAGGTGTGATGAATGAGCGCCTACGTATCATACCTCATTCGTTACATGCAAATTACGACGTTTTGTTTGACATGTAATTGAAAAATGTGATTCTCTATAATATATTATAACGTTTTTGTGATGCTATAACTAGTCTTAGGGCCTGTTTGTTAGAAGCTTWATAGGCTTAATAGGACTTGCAACTTATTAGGTCAGCTAGACATGACTRTTTGGTAGTGGCTTAATGATATAGAAAGTTGTTTTTCCAATAAGCTTCAGAGGGGAGCTTTGTGCAGAAAGTAGAGTTTTTTCCTAACCTACCCCTCCCTATTAAAAAACACGCTCTTTCCATTTATGAAAAACCCTTTCACACAAAAACCTTTTCAATCTATACAGAYAGATTAATGCACACAGACAACTTTATCCATGTAGGACTTAATGGAAAACCAACCAAACAAAGTTACTATTTCCCTTTCGGGGGAGTATCTTTCTGGTTTTGGTCTTCTCTTCCATTTTCTTTTCCTTTCTCTTCTAATTTTTCATACTTGCACACTTTTCACAAGTAAGGTGTTCAGGGAAACAACTGCTCTACTCCTTGGGGTAAAGGTCAGACATGGGTACCTCCCAGATCCCACCGCGGTTAGGATTTGGTTTGGTTAATTCAATAATTAGGGATGATGAGACAAGCTTGGTAAATTACTAAACTACYCATGTGAAATTAAAACCGTAAAACCTTACACAATTCTTCACCTACCYATACCTTGTTATCTTTTAACCATCATTATAATGATCTCATTCRGGTTTCGCGTCCCAAAGATAATACTCCCTCCGACCCTCCATTCTAAAATAAATGTCCACCATGAAAAAAACACAGTTTTAGAAACATAAGTTACGACTTTACCCTTGACAATTGAGGGAGTAATGAATTACTCCGTCTCATAATCAAGGGTAGAATTGGAAAGCAAACATTTACGTCTAGAAATAGTCGCTTATTTTGGGACTAACTAAAATAGAACTGTAAACACTTATTTTGGGACGAATGAAGTATGTAAATATACGATGTTAACATGAACATATTCCAAAAAGGAAAAAAAAACCATAGAGTCTCAATTTGATTGGTCGGACTTGTGTGCAGGATGAAGTGCTAGAAAGGGCTAAAAAGGCGAAAGAGAAAGCAGCACGCGAAGCCATGGAAGCACAAGGACTTGTTYCCAAGTCGGCTTCATCAAGTATAATTTCGTCACCAACGGCTAATAAAACTACAAATGGTTCTGGAACAGAACCTGCAGCCGTTGATGAACCGACGGTTTCACCATCTTCATCAAGCTCGGGTTCTGATCGTAACGGCAGCACAGATCCACTTTTGGGAATACAGATAGATGATTAAGTGAAGGAATATATGTCATCTACTAAAGATGGTTGAGTAAAAATGGTTAATAGTTTAGGCTCATTGTGGAAGAAATGAGTTGGTATATTGATATGATGTTATATATGGACATGTTAAAATGAAAGAAAGATGTGAATGAGCAAGAGATTTTTGGATTATTTAGGGGATGCTTGGTGAACACTTGTCATTAGACTCTTTAGGTGGARYTTGTTTTTTAAGAGGTGTTGAWGTCTRAAGTCTGATTTCACCTCTGATKTATAAGWGGTGGTCTTGAAGTCTGAAATCTCAATTTTCTTCATTTTGGAGTTTGAAAAACTTTCGAACTGTGTGAGACAAACAAAAATAAAAATACGGATGCTTATTGGAATTTAGGGAGTAAATCTTATAAAATGTGAATAAAACTCTTTCCTCCCAATTAAATTTTGGAGATTTTTTCAAGTAGCTTTTCGTTCCTCCTATTTCTATCTTTCGTAAATCCTAGAATTTTACCTTTGATTATGAAAGACCGTCCAGGTCGTTGTGATCCTAACACTTCACCGGACCATTCGAACRAGGATCAGYTGGGCGGTTGGGACCTCAATATAATGTGGCAAGCTTAGGACATAGTGATGCGGGTCAMCATCGAGGCATGACGGATTAATGGTTTCTCAGGGGACTTGGGCATGGCCGCCGTTGAGGAGGCTTCTCCAGACTACAATTCGGACGACGAGGCCGCCCGATCTTCAAGTTGTTATCCTTGGCACATATCGTGTCAAGGTTTGTTTACGTGCCAATGCTTCGACCGCAACCCCAGGACAAGCGAGACTACCGAAATTATTGGATTTATAAAASACGAACTMGCATTGTGGGCCWCCACCAGAGTTTCCTTTGGCTTCACCCCGCTCAGGCATAGTTCACCRCCAAGGTCTAAATACAGTCGATGGGGTGCCCGCAGGAMGGTGCCKCAAGCRCCCAGGTGTGAGCKCGATGCTCACGATGCCCTGCYGGCGKGCRTGCATGGTGCACYATATAACCATCATGGAATTCTAAATCCCATATTAATCGGATTTCATTGATATCCCGGTATTCAATTCTAGACTCTTTTTAAAATCAAAAACAAAATAACAAGTCGTATACTGCCTTGGATATGAGGAATTTTGAAATGGAATCCAATTCCAAATCTCAAAAACCAGACGAGCTCAAGATCCCATTTTGTTTGCAGGAATGGAAAAGATTTAAAAGGATTTAGAATTCAAATTCATTCCAATCCATCTTTGGTTTACAGGATTGTTCAGATTTAAAATATTTAAAACATAAGATTTCAAAATCTTACAACAGGGTTGGAATTTCAAAGATTTTTATGTTTTAAAATATGTTACATATAACCACAAGGGAGGTGTCTGATTAGTTTGAGTTTAGCTCCAAAGGTTAAAAGTATCAGGAGGTCTCAGGTTCAAATTCAAAGAGGAATAAAAATCTCCTTGTGGCCATGGAGGTTCAAATACGGTGACTCAAGACTATCTACAAAGCAGGTGGTCGTCATGTGATTAATCGACTCGCAGAATGGGTTGAATATCCATGTTAATCAAAAAAAATGTTACATATATTTATTTTATAATAATTAATTAATAATAAAGTTACTTAATTATATATAATTTATTTTTTTAAATTATTTATAAAGAACAGAATTCAAATTCATTTAAAATCCAAATCCTACCAAAAAAACAGAACAACGAAATCTAAAAGCAAAACGAAGTTTTGTGAAGTCAAAATTCCATTTATGTACGATTCAGATAAAAGAAACAAATACAAAGTTATAATAATCTCATCATTCAAACAAAAAGAGATACCACTTTTGGTTGACCAAAAGATATCTGTTCGAGTAGAAGTGTTCCATATCATCATCATATCATAAATATTGCTTCAAYTTCACCTTCAAAACTAAACCATAAATTCCAACACAATTACTTTGCAGATTCACTCTCATCAACCTCCATCGTCGTCGTCTCCGGCAACTCGATTTTGCTGTTTCCATCATCATCATCACCATCATCATCATCATCATCATCATCATCCATGGCAGTCGAGCCCTTGTAATCCACCTTGAAGTCATAATCGCCCTCCACCGATTCATCTTCTACGATTGTGTTTGCAGCCGGTTTGTTGGTTTTTTTCCTTCTTTTCTTTTCAGCGTTCGATAGCTTCTTGTTTTGTTGGCTACTTASGTTCGTTACTTTGGTTTCTGGTGCGCCTTCTGCCATGGCTTGATCTTCGCCTTCGGTCTTTGTGCTCCTTTCTAATGGGGTTTCAACTTCCGTGGTTGTTTCTAGTTGTTTTTCATTCTGTCGAAGTAAGAACTCGTATGGGTAAGAACACAATCTAGSAACAAAGACGTTTTCAATTTTCAAATCTCACAGGTCTCGGTTGTTCGTTGAAAAGCTAGTGGTTGACTAATAATCTAGCTGATAAACTAGATGTTTGGTAAAAACTAGCAGTAAGCGGATATATAAGTCGTATTTGCTAAAAACTAATTGATAAATGGTGATAAACTAATCACGTTTGGTAAAAAAACTAGCTGATAAACTAAACATCAATGTAAAATTACCTACAATAATAAGGGTTTTGGTCATTTATATACTCCCTCAATCACAAAATAATTGCCTATATTACTATTTTAGTTTGTCCTAAAATAAGTATCCCCTTTCAAAAGTAAATGCCTACTTTCCCATTCTACCCTTAATTATGTGATGAAGAAAATTTCTCATACTATAATTAAGRGTAAAACTGTCATTTTGTTGATTAAGAAGTGTAATAATTTTCATTCTAAASCCGTGTCTTTTTCATTCTGAACATTTATTTTCGGGGTCATTTACCCAGTAAGCGTTTACCGGTAAGAGTMAGGACTTCCACTTAATTTACCGGATAAGATTTTACCGGGTAAGAGTCATTGCTCTCRCTACCGAGTAAGACTCTCGGTCCTTGTTATCGCTCTTACCGGGTAAGATTTTCAATCCTTGTCATATTCATCCGATAAGATAAAGTGACTCGGTAAGCACTTAGTGGGTAAACGTTCGGTAAACGGCTCCTTAGTTTCACAAAACATTTAAAACCCCCTTAGGAACGATATAATAAAAAATATATTATAAATAAAATCAATGCCATCAAACCCATTCAATGATTACTGGTTGGGAAATTTAGTAACTTCGATTTCGAACTATTTTGACATCTATTATTTTTAACATATATGGAGTCTTATATTTTGACAAGTTGTGGAAAAAGAATACGAACCTCAAGCATTGACTCGTCGAAATGAAGAGGGTCACTTGGCGGAATCTCAACGGGATTAAATTCAAGTACGGATTTGAGGCTGCCGATATACGATGATTCGGTGCCGTATACTTCATCCACATTGAACTCTTTTCCTAGTTCTGATACAATATTTGCATCCATAGCCTCCCCTTSCCTAGTTGGAGGCATTGTATAGTATTGAATTTTACCTGCAAGGTGAAAATAAGCATACTTTAGTTGCCTTATTTCTTTCTATGTGAGAATATGTAGAACCCCATTAAATTACTTGTTGGTTTTCCATTAATTCATGTATGGATAAAGTTGTCTGTGTGGATGAATCTATCTGTATTGTATAGATTGGGAAGGTTTTTTGTTGGGGGATTTAGGGTTTTTGCATAAATGGAAGGAGTGTAAGGATCTATTCCATCTATTCAATTTCCCGGCGTTTTCGTGCAATAAACCCCTCCCGCCAAAGACTTTTTAACTGGGAGGGGTGGGTTTGGAAAAAAAAATTGGCTTTCTGCATAAAGCTCCCCGAGACTTACTGAATATGCCACTTCCATATAATTAAGCCACTATCGAGCAATCATGTATAGTTGACTGAATAAGTTGCAATCTCATAAGCTTATTAAGCTGCTAACAAACAGGCACTCATTCTCCAAACAAGCATTTGAGAAGAGAAGGGAGGTTCGAAATATAGAGAGGATAAATGGTCCAAGTCTAGCCGAGGTGGAACTCCAGCACACCCCTTCCGAYAGAGGCTATACGGGTATAGATTATGCTAGTGTCCAGAGAGGGTTAGACGAGTACAGATTGCCACGGAGTGTTGAGTAGGCTAGGACACAAATTGTCCCGGTGCGAGAGGGGGCTAGGGCACAAATCATCCTAGTGTCGAGGGGAGATAGACAAGTACAGATTGCCCCAGAGACTCGAGTCCCTAAGATGATAGACCGTGGGAATCTGATACAATATGAGAATACGTGAAATCCTTTYGAATCACTCTCTAAGGTTGTGCTTGGAGAGGATAGAACAATTGTTCAACATTTGGTAAGACGGAATTGGAAAAGCAGAACAGATAAAATGAGTTGTTTATATCTTTTATATATTCTGACTAATTTATGTATTTTATTAAATTATAATAAAAGAAATATTTTTATAACAAAATATATCATTAGAAAGTTTTCGTCAAAATGATACAAAAATCATGTTTATRTAGTTTCCAATTTTTATTTCATATTCTTTCAATATTCTTTTTTCTATTATTAATATTTAATAGATTACATAAGTTAACTAAAAAGATAAAAACCATAAAAATAATATTTTGACAGTAAAGTGAAAGTTTAAAGAGCATGAAATACAACAAATAAAATTTAAAGAGTAAAATAAAATGTAAAGAGGGAGGCGTATTTAATGTTTTAGAAGAGAATTAAGTTTTATTTTGAGGTTATATTGGTAATATATAAGTGCGTTCCAACGTGTTCAATGGGGGGTGGGGGTGGAACACGCCTGATCCACACTGTTCCTGTTTGTTCCACATAAAAGTCCTGCCAATCATGGAACTTATGTGTTGGAGGTGGAACACGCCTGATCCACTATGTTCTTGTATGTTCCACATAAAAGTCCTGCCAATTATGGAACTTATATGTTCTATCCAGTACTCCAGTGTACCAAACGAATATATTGAGGGAAAATGGTCTTAGTCTAACAGATCTGGAACTCCTACACTTTCTTTTWCTCGTTTTTATTTCTCTTGTTCAGGGAATGGTATTTTGGTCTTGTACTTTAGCTAATTTGTGCAAATGCATGCCAAGAGTTAAAGTTATTGATGTTCTACTAATACGGACCTTCATTCCAATCATGTAGCACAATTTTTGCAGCAGCATTGATGTCCACAAGGCCTCCCTTTTTAAGCTTACCTCTGATGGTAGCCACCTTAGAAAGAAAGTCATCTACAGAATTGAAGATCGGAATCTTATATAACGTTACCAACATTTCGGCTGGACATAACTTGAGGATTTCCTTCACTGCAACCACATATAACATCATTCAGTCACGGCAAAAGAAAGTTGAATCTAAAGCATTTGCACTTCTGATTTCATATTTGGCTWTTTGTTGCAAATCATTTCATCTTTCTCGTGAAAAAGATGAAAAAAAAGATACCATGTTAATGAGCAAATTTGGACCAAAACAAAGTAGAATGGCAATTTTAGAATTTACATTTACAAAATTTGTCAATAGTTGTTAACTGTAACATCCCAAGCCAACTGTACCAGATATTGTCCTCTTTTTCCACACMTGGACTCAYGGTTTTAAAACACGTCTGATAGAGGATGTATTTGATCCCTTATAAGGCAACCSTTGTTCCTCTAACCGATGTGGGATCTTACATTAATCCTTCCAAACTATCGTGTGTCTTTTTGGCACCCTTAAAGAGTAGAGCGTTGTTTCTATGAAGACCCCCCACCCCCGGCTAAAAGAGATTTGAGAAACTAGATATGAAAAATAAAAAGAGAGTAAACTACAAATTTAGCCCCTGTGGTTTGTTAAAAACAACAGTTTTCGTCCCTACAGTTTCGAAATTACAATTGGCAAAATGTCCAGATATGGTCCCTCTGTCTAACGACCGTTAAAAAGTTCTGTTAAATGAGGTGTATTTTCGTCTTTTTATCGATTTTTTGTCATTTACMCCATTAGAAACCACAGGGACCAAATTATAAAATCGCATTTTGATTGATTAAAAGACAAAAAAACGATAAAAGTACAAATATATCACTTATTTAACGGGAACTTTTTAGCGGCTGTTAGAGGAAGGGGCCAAATCTGGACGTTTTTACAAACCACAATAGCCATCTTGTAATTTCAAAACTGTGACAAAAAGTGTTATTTTCGACAATTTGTAGTTTAATCTAAATAATAACAAATAAGGATCCAAACGGTAAATAGTAACACATAAAACAGATCTTTCATGGATAAATCTGATTACCTGGAGAAACGGGGTCCTCTAGCTTCTCAATTTTAACGCAATTTCGGAGAGCGACAGCAGAATCATTCTCCCCGGATTTAAGCATCACAACACCAGGGCAGTCCAACAATTTAACATTCTTGTCTAAGTGAACTTCTTGCATGGTTCTCGTTAGACCAGGGGTAGCCCCGACATTGACAACATGACATCTCTTCAAGCTATTAATTAGACTGCTCTTGCCTACATTTGGCAGGCCAACTACACCCACGGTGATCGACTTTTTAATCTGTGCCAAAAAGAACATGCTATCAAAACCAAACCAAACCGACCCAGTAAATCCCAMTAGAAAGTATGTCTAGGGGTGCATTGTATGAGACACGACCTCTACATAGAGAGGTACAAAAAAGCCCAGGCCTGGCCCAAGCCCAGTATGAAAAGCCCCAGACCTAGTGACGCCAAAGCCAGGTCGGAGCCAGCCCAATCAGGCTGAAATTTTGGGGGCAGGCCTGGGCCTAGGCCCCAAAAAAATCCTGGCCTGGCTTAAAAAGGCCCRGGACTTCTTTGCTCACTCAAAACGGGATTGAAAGGTCTGGGCCCAGGCCCAAAAATCCCAAAGCTTGTGCATCTTTAACCCCAAAGAGTAGTGGCAGTTTCAGTGAAGAAAACCGGCTTGTGCAAGAGTGTGAGCAAACAGGTAGCAGGAACAAACTCTACCAAATCGCCACCCCAATGGAAACTAAAAAATRTATTTAAAATTGTTGCAAAATGACCAAAAAAATGTTTTACATACTTTTAACTTAAATTTATTTAGTTTAAATGTTTCAAAATGACTAAAACGCCCCTCACATGACTAGCACGTGAGGGCACGTAACGGATGACGGTCCACTTGCAAGCAAATTCAAAGGGTGTGGAATCTAGTGCAATTTCTAAATTGGAATGGAGATAGAGTTTATCAAAACCRCAGGGAGGATTTATGTAATTTACTCTAAAATTAACCACCACCCAATCAAAGACATGAAGAGTTTACATGAATTCTCCTAATGACGGAAGAACAAGAAAAACACATTGAAATATTGTTAAAAAGATACCTCATGACTTCTTGAGTAATTCTTCAGTAGCTTTAAAAGAGTTTCTGCTCCTAGGCAGTCACTTGTTTGCAAAAGATTGTTGGTCTTTTTTGCAGCCTTGGAAGATTTCCATCCGAGGTTAGATTTCTGCTCTTGAGTGCTACACTTAAAAGCAACTGTTGGCAACTCCTCTCTTAGATACTTGAGCCACTTTTCAGCAGCTTCACGAGGAACGAGATCTAATATCCAAATTCCAGCAGATAGTAAGCCACGAGTAAGCACAAAAGAAGATCAAATGATAATGAGCCTGTTGTCAGGCAAAAAGACCAGACCTTTCGGTTCGGTCCAGACCACCGGTCCTCAGTAGGTCCGAACGTTTTTAGGCGGACCAGTCTTTTTTTAGGACCAGATATAGCCCRAATCACATAAAACCTTGGGAAAGACCAGATCGGCCCAAAACCAATTTTTTATTAAAAAGGTCAATTTTTGTCTCAGAAAAATCAAATAAAATGTAATTAAAAAGAATAAAAATTTTAAAAAATTAAAACAAAAATCAATAACCATTGACCAAGACATTGACCAAATCAGTCTTTTCAGGACCGGTCCATGCCCATCTCGCCATCTCTACATTTTGGTTCAATTACAMAAAGATAAAAGAAAATTGCATCTTCACTGGTTAAAGTGCCTACACAGATCATGATCCAAATGATTTTTTGGATTCATATTTGCCTAAGMTAACTCCAACTAGGCGTGTAAACGAACACGAACAAAGGTKCRTTCCTGATCRTTCATTTAACTTAACCACACAAACAAAAAASTTGGTGYGTTCATGTTCGTTYGTTAAGAAATTGTGCTTGTTCGTGTTCATTTATGTTCGTTYGTTAAGATGCTAAACGAACATAAATGAACATAAACGAACAAAAAACAACCACCATTACTCATCATTTCGTTCCTCAAAATTAACATAACAAAATAAAAAACCTGGTAACTTAAAAGGGATAAAAAAATGAATTCTAAAAATATGACATGAATATTTATTCTATATACTAATGTTATGTATATAAACAAACGTTCACAAACGTAGCTAAACGAACAAAAAAAAATGTGTTCATGTTCGTTCATTTACTAAATAAACGAACATAAACGAATTTTCCTCCAAATGGTTCGCTAAACATTCGGTTCGTTCACAGCCCTAACTCCAACTGATGCAGTGTCAACCTCAAGAACAGAAAGCAGATAGGACAAGAAGATTACCTATTTTATTGAGGAGCAACACAAGATGTTTTTCAGGACCAGCTTTCAAGACCATCTTTTCCATATCGATACAACGGGTACCAAGGGGATCCCGAACATCAAGCACTTCCAAAATGACATCAGATGCTTCAATAACTTTTGCCAACTCCTTGTAAAACGACCTCTCTGAATTGTCCAAGAAAACCAAAAAACTTTCAAAGAGATGATGCCGAGACCAGATTTGCATTTTGGAGTTAGAGAAGTCGGTAAAAGTTTAGAGAGACCATAAATGGTCACATACCACGGGTTTTACTTGTAGCCGTGGAATCACCAGCGGCTTTTCTCTCTCCAAATTCTTGTTCCTTGGCAGAAACCTGTTCGGCAAGATTGGTGATATCGTCACCATCATCCTCCAATAGACCCAACTTCCTCTTTTTAGCCTGAAGTAAGATGGTGTCATTTTAAAATCAACGCTTTTGTACCAGAAGGCGTTATGATTGATAAAATATCTAGCAGAAACAAAAGACTAGTACCCAAAAATAACAAGAAAGCAATAAAGGTTCATGTTTCTATTTTAGTTTGTCCAAAATAAGTGTCCATGTGTCTATTTTAGTTTGTCCCAAAATAAGTGTYCAGTTTCAAAAGCAAGTACTACTTCCAATTCTGCCCTAAATTATGAGATGAAGAAATTCATTACTCCCTCTACTATTAACTGTCATTTGGTCAATTAAAAAGTGTAATAATTGCACRTTTCTAAAACTGTGCACCCTTCTATTGTGAACGTTTATTTTGGGACGGAGGGACTAACACATATGACCACGAAAACGCTCTCAAATAATGTTGTGACATATTAAGTTGTATTGGATACAAAGAAAGTGATCATATGATCTAATARCAGCACCTTTTGTATAGGTTCAATGTTACCTATGAGCTGCTATTTCTTATCCTTCTCGTCCTATGTTCACCATGTCCTTCTAGTCACCCGCTATGTTGTGACCGCGCCRCTATAGTGGTCGTACCGCAGTTCGCTAACATTGACAAAATAGCAGTCCAAAATGGGGTCTCTCGGTGCTGCTAATAGCGGCCCAATGTACCGGCATTTAACCAGCTCGTTTAAGTTGATGTTTTGATGTTAAAACTATATATTTTTATTCAATATATATGATAAGTTAAACTATACATATAATTCTAATTATTGTACAGACCATTATCTTTTGATGCCATACCATCGCCATAACCATTATATATCGAATCAGAGTTTTAACATCTATTTCAGATTTTGACATCTGTAACTGCATAGGTCAACAGTTTGCTCACACCTGCACATGTCAGGGTCTTCACAAACCACAGCTCCACTAGGTCCAGCCGTCCAGTCAGTGTACATCCCACTCCAACACCCCCCCCCCTCTTTCAAGTGGGATTTAGGGGCTGTTTGTTATGTTTTTCATCAAGTCTTGTAAGGATAAAGTTGTCTATGTGGATTAATCTGTCTAACAGTGTATAGATTGGAAAGGTTTTGTTCGAGAGGGGTTTTTCACATATGGAAGAAGCATWTTTTTTAATCGGGAGGGGCAGGTTTGAAAATAATTTGGCTTTATGCATAAAGCTCCCCCTAAAAGCTTGCTGAATAAGCCACTGTTTGGCTTTCTGCATAAAGCTCCCCTGAAAGCTTATGAATAAGCCTAAAGCTCCCCCTGAAAGCTTAATGAATACGCCATTTTCTATATTATTAAGCGACCAACAAACAGTCAAGTRTAGCTAACAAAATAAGTTGTAGTCCCATTAAGCTCATTAACCTGCTAACAAACAAAACAGACCCTCAATGGGTCAGTTTGGTTTGGGTTTTATTAGCATTAGAAAGTGTAAGGTTTTGACATGAACAATGTTCACATTTGAAACTATACCTAACATATTGAATATCAAACTCCAAATAAACACATTAACCCAATGAACCATAMAACCAGCTAAATGAAAACAAATTACCCTCTCTTTACGAGCAGCCTTTTTCTGCTCAATTTCCTCAACCGCCTTAGTACGACGAGCTTCGAGAGCCTTGAGCTCTTGTTCCTTGAAAGGCCAATCGTTAGGGATACCTGGATCCTTCTCAACCTTAGGCCTTTTGTTCAAMCCAAGCTTCTTCGCCTCTTTAGCCTTCTTCTTATGGTGCTCCTTCACCTTCTTTATCACTTTGTGCTTCTGCTTCAATGTTACTCTCTTACTCTTACTCTCTGCACATACATACACAAAATATATCTATCAAACTTGAGCAAAAAAAAGGATAGATGAACACACACACACACATGTACGTGAATTGAGAAAAATTAGGGTTCTAATTGAATGTATAAAATCGAATTTACTTTTGCTTCTCTTCGGCATGTTTGCTTGGTGGTGGGAGGTCTGATTCGGAGRTTACAGAAAGAAGATGGAGAAGGGCTTATGGCAGCAAATTAGGGTTTTTGAAAGGCGGAGGCGCCGAGTATATATACATATTACTCCCTCCATCTTGTATATAAAAATAAAATAAAATGGAATTAATTCTTTTTTTTAACAAATTAATTAATAATTAATAATTAAAAATAATAAAGTTTTTTTAAAATTCCTATTTACATGTAACAATGTTTTAGAGTTGATTACGTGAATGTCAAATTCATTATTTACTTCGTTATAAATGGACATCATATCATTAAGGGRTTGTTTACYTAAATGCTTACCCGRTAAATRATTACTATTAGTAGTCAACAATATAATTTATTTTATCTTAATATTGTAGTACATCAAAATKGTAYCGTATGYAACAATTTACTCGGTAASCGYTTATCTGGGTAAGAGTCGTCATCATCACTTACCGAGTAAGAYTCTTCATCTTTATCATTGCTCTTACRGGGKAAKATTKTTTTTACCATTGTCATGTTCATCCGGTAARAAAAATTACCAAGTAAGYACTTACCGGATGAGYGTTTAATAAACGGCCCCTAAATGTTACAATATCAGCATATTACTAGTTAAAATGACTATAAAAATGAAAATGTATGTATCTACCCCAAACCCTAAATGTCTGAGTCAGCTAGTGATGTTACCCACCAGTTTTTGTTCATGTGTATAAAACCTTTCATCTATRGTTACTACAGGTTTTTTATGTATCAGATCATAGGTATTATATTGCTTCGTAAAATTAAGCACCAAAGTAATCAGTTGGCTTCTTGTTTTTCGGAAACCCCATCTCAGTACATGCTTGTGTATAAACCACCACATTTGTCTTCTTGTCCGACAATCCATCGTAGTGTGTGCAAAACCCCGAACTCGTGACCATTATTGTTGTTTTCTTATTAGGCGTGAAACCGCTATAATATATATTTGTGTGTGAAACTCCAAACCTGTAACTACCACTCATGTATTTGTTCTTTGACAACCCACCTTAGATTGTGTCTTCTCTTGTGAAAGCCTGAGCTTCTAACGATCATTGTTGTCTTCTTCCTTTTCCTCGATAACCCACCTTAGTTTTGTCTACATGTGTAAACTCTTATCCAACATCCCACYTTTTTTTTTATTAACCTGGATATCCAACCCGCTATGCAAGCCGACTAATCACAGGGCGACCACCTGCTTTACAGATATCCCAGAGACATCCCACATTTTTTTTTTTGTTTTTTTTTTTTGTAAGGGTGTCCAGGCCAAAGCCCTACTAATCCCCGACAAATTTGGAGGCTAAACATGGTCTCACATAAATGTCGTCAACACTTCCCTTCCAGGGCCCGAACTCGGGTTCATGACTATGTCATGCCCAAGCCTTTACCACGTGACATCCCACCTTTATGTGTGTGTAAAAACCGAAATAGTAACTACCTACTTTGTATTCTTCTTACTGGTAGCTTATTCGATATGTATAAACCCATTACAGGGTGGGTTCTAATGAGAATGAAAATTATGGTGAGTGTGATAACCGGTTTATTTGATATAAAGTTTGGGGGTTGTTTTAAACTTGGTTTGAAAGTTGTGGGGTGTGTTTTGAAAACTAATTTAAAAACTTTTTATCATATCCACTGTCTCATGTGAAGATATTTTCGTATATGTGTGTTTTTTCATTTTCAAATACTTTTGAGTTAAGAACTGAGAAAAATTGGGGTGTGTGTTTTGGTTAATTGGTTCGAATAAASAAAAGAAAAAGAGAAGAACTTGTTACGTTATATTAACTGATTATTTGTTGTTGTTTAAAGCCTTCATCTATCTGTGATTATAGGGTGAGTTTTTATTGTAAAGCATCATTTGATTTGCTTTAATAAGGAACTGTATGGTTTCCTGTTTCATACATGTGGTGTTTTAAAGTTTATTATATGTTATTTTTAACATAATATTGGGATTTGATATGTTATTATCAAYTGATTGGAATAAGGGTGAAATACTGATGAGATGGGTAAATTTGTAATAAATGTTACATAATCAGGAACTTGACATACTGGGATAATGGTGGCATAATCGATTTTTCTGGAAAAAATGATGATCTTTTGATCATGGGTTATTGTTATCGCATCTATATGATGCGATGAGATTGATTTTATTGCATGTGTCTGATGCGATGAAATTGAGATTGAGGTCAAAATGTTATTTTATCGCATCYTTGAGGTGTCACAAGGGAAATTTAACGCATCTATATAATGCGAGGAATTGTGATTATCGCATCATTGGGGTGCAACAAGTTTGCTTATCACATCAGTGTAAYGTGACAAATATGTTTATCGCATCTTTTTGGTGTGACAAGTGAGTTTTATCGCATATGTTAGGTGCGACGAGTTGGGRTTATCGCATTTGTTGGATGCAGTAAGTTGAGGTGATCGCATCTATTGGATGCGACAAGGTGTGTTTATCGCATGTTTTGGATGCGACAAAAATGTGTAATCACATCAATGAGATGTGACAAGTTGGTGTTCTACATGTTTAATGCGACAAGTTGGTGTTCTATGTGTTTAATGCGACAAGTTGGTGTTTCTTTGGGTTTGATGCGATGAAAAGGGGTTATCTCGTCCATATGATACGACAAATTAATGTTTGTTATAATAAACAATGTTTACATATTATCTTTCAAATATTAGCTTCCCAAAAATGTTTTGGTGATTTTCACCCTGTAATTGTAATCAAGAGTATTGTTCGCTAAACCTTATGGTTTAACCCTCGTTTTATTTTAAAAAATGTGCATTACCGGTCGAGCACATATGAAAGGTAAAGTGAAAGGAAATATGTGAATAATATTGTTATTGCTTTACATTCGTGGATTTTTGGAAAGTTGGGTTTATACGTGTGCTTGAGGGTTTGTTATATTCAAGACATGTACTTTATATGTGAGTAAAAAATTTGTAACTACCTTTGCATGTAGCAATATGTGTACTTTTTAGATCAGTGTGTATATTTGTATTTCATGTTATATGGAATGTATGTGTTTCATGCAAATGAGAGTTGGGGTGTTACAGTGAGAAAGATAATAATGAATCAACACCCTTATCCGGTAGCCCAATCCAATATGTATAAACCCAAATTTGGAGAATTCTCAGTATTTTATTATTATTATTATTCATATCAACAAGAACCCTTAAAATCGAATGTTATGAGAGAAAAATAACAGTTTATGAATTATAATGAATACTTTAGTAATTTAAGTGACATTGTAAACTCCAAAATGGAGAAGTTGTTAGATGTGGATCTGTATTTTTTTCTGGATATTTCGACTTTATCTGTTCGAAATGCTCCTAAAGCTGGCGAGATAATTGATCTTTTCCATCAATAAAGTTGAAAGTATAATTACAGGGAGAATTGTATCAAGATAGAACCAACTTTARATTGATTCMTAATTTGGGGAACAAACTTTTAAAGCTATCGTTTTAGGGTACGAAACAAAAAAAATTCATTTGTTTAAGGGGCTCGATTACCTGTTTAGCAGGTAACTGGTTATCTCAATACGATGTGGCATAAAACAAAACAAAAACAATTGTTTGTATGGATAGTAAAACATGTAGGTCCCTTGTTTTTTCTTAAGAAAATATTGTAGATTTGGTCCATGTGCTATGAAGTTTATTATATAATCCATTTATAGATTTTGTCCTCGGTCCGGG